CTCTGTAACGAGGAAATTTTCCGCGATCCTGTATTTCCAAATGAAAATTTCCATTTAAAAAATAATTTCCGAGCTAAATACAATAGTAATTTGTAGTTAAAGTACAAAAAATTTATCTGAGAGGCACCGATTAATATAAACAATATTAATATATAAATTGTTCATTACTCGTAAAATTGTCAGATTTTTTTATTGAATATAAATAGATACAATGTTTCAAGTAAAAAATTTAAGGTATCATTATAAAAATACTTAATATTAAAAAATATGATTTTATAAATAATGTAAAAAATCAAATAAGGTACAATACATATATAGATGCGTAAAAACACATTTTTCTATTAACATAGTAAATTTATTAGATTCACCAATATATTTAATCATAGAAATAAAAAATTTGCGAGATATGTAATAATTTTTATCTCGAAAAAATAATCTTTCGATATAATTCCATTAATTATGAATTTGTTGAACAACTTACTATTGAAGTCATTCACATTTGGATTCACTTATCTGTACAATAACTAAGTGAACACGTATTTTAATTTAAACAAAACAAGTATCCGGTTTAAAACAAGATTTATTATTATCAAAAATCCATAGGGATTAAAATCAAAAGGGAATAAAATCTTCGGTAACTTCTCATTGTTTTTACTTTCCAATGGCAAACGGAACGTACAAATGGAACATATGAAAGTTATATATTTGCGCTCACCCACCGGATGGACAAATATTCGTCGAGTACCATACCACTCGATAACACGGGGAGCTAATAAAAGAAGTCGCGCTGTTCCATTATCAAAGCTAAGAGCTCGTAGCTAACCGCTTGTGTGTAAATGGACATGAGACTTTGCAAAGTCCTTCTTACGATAGCGACAAATCAACAAATTAAAAGTTGTTTATTAATGTTAATGATTATTTACTAACAATTTCGTTATTTCTAATATTCCCAATTTTAAATAATATACTTTTCATGTAAAATCAAAATTTTTATTTATTTTTATTTAATAAAAAAATTTGTAAGGATAGCTAATTATTTTCTTTAACTGATTCACACAGTTACATCTATCATAATATGTAATCTTCAAATCAATTTATTATTAAGCAAAGTGACTTTAAGCTAATGACTAAAAACTAATGATACATACTCGGCAGTTTACTCGAGTATAACTGAAGAACTTTGGAATGAATGAGGTGGAATAAATGTAGGTCTGAAGTATGCACTTGGTAATGTAGAAGGCTAATAGAAGAAGTCACGCAGTGCTATTGTTAGTGGACAATACTGCAGATGGTTAAAACGATTTTCATCGCCCTATGCTCGCTATTCAGTGCCAGTACGCAAAACCACTTAACGCCGACTGATACCAGTATGAATTAGTTGATGGCAAATCAAAGTGTTTTATCGCAAGAATATCGACCAGTAGTATTTCGTTATATGGTGATAATATTTAATTATATATCGAAAATGTATGTACTCCATATCAGAAAGTAAATGTACGAATCCTTTATTTTAAATGATAAAATATTCCATAGATCCATTGCCAGCAAAATAGAGAATTTAAATAATGCAATAAGACTTCCAAGTATTTTATAAAATGTATGACGGCTTTTAGTAAAAGCAAAAAAAGTTTTACTTATTCTAAAATGCCAGAAATATTTTTTTAAACATAAAGCTTTTTGAATATAAAGATCATAATAGCAATATTTTATAAATATATAAGCTATCTCTCTTAATTTTTATACTATTTCTTAATTTATATTGCACAAAAAATGTTTTAAAGAAATTATATATAGTGCTAAGCAACATGCATAAAAGTTATAGATCATGCAAAATTATTTAACCTTAATATCAAAAGAAATTTTCTATATCTTTAATTCTACATATTTTATAAGAATCTTAGCATCAATGAAAAATAAATGCTTATATAAAAAATATTTAAAGTCAATTTTTTAAATCAAAATTAAATTCATTTTTTATTTTATTTTTCAAATAAGTTATTAATATTAATAATGGATAAACACAAGATGTATTTACTTTTGATAAAAATAAGGTTAAAATTAATAACTTTTAGTGTTTACCTTCATCACAAGTTTGAGATCCTTTCCAAAATGACATAAAAGGAATTCGCAGTGAAGATTCTATTTGAGTTGCTTCATGTGCTCTGATATCTGTAACAATACAAATCATAAGAAACTATAATATGAACGTTAGTATAAAGAAATATATATCTAAAGTAAAATGTAAAAACTCACAAATTGTATATCTCCTATTACAATGTACATAACTATAATGATGCTTCATTATATAACTTTCATTGTTCCAGATTACTTTTAAATATTAATAAGAGATTCTTTTTTCATTATTCTGCAACAGAAAAAAAAACAGAAATTTGTTAAAAACAAATTCTTTATGTAATAAATATAAAATAATACAATATTAATTTACATGGATTATATATATATGATAAATGATTTTCATCCATCTTTTCCTTTTGATTATTATTCACAATTAGCACAAAAATTATATAACTAAGGTTTCTTTTAGGCTCTTAAAATTTTTAACGTACAGAATTTGTATGTTAAAAATTTCCATCTTTATATATTGAATATCAGGTTCTTCAATTTTTTTGAATTCCTTGAATTCATAATAAAACCAAAGTTATCATCACGTTTCCGAAGATTTCAATCTGCAACAATTTTCTTATTCACCAATTAAAAATTTTTCTTTCGTTTATGACAATCAAAGAATTCTGATACAATTTAATAAGGCATAACTTAATTTTTTATATAATTAACTACAAATTCCATTTATCTACACATATAAAGTACTTTGCGTAGTTATTACATGCCAAGTTTTTTATTATTTAATCTAATATACAATCTAAATGTATAGTAAAAATATACATAACGATATATTGTATTATCTTAACTAAATCTTTGTTTCCGATATGAATTTCTCACATATAAAATATATTATTTAAAAACCTTCGTCAAATTCGCAGTCAAAGATGTTTAACACAAATTTCATCTGCAAATTGTATACAAAGTACTAATTATTTAATAGTTCTACGATTCAACGACTAACAAGAATAATCGACACTATAGACACATACAACTTGCGAATTCGGCAGTTAAAGCATGTCTTGTGTAAAAATCACGCTGAATTACGCGAAATTTTTACATTCAATTACATATCAAACGTACCAAACGATGTTAAAAACGCCGCACGAACGTTCTCATGACGTCACGCCATTTGCAAATGGCGGATGAGTCATGTGACCACGATCTGCCTATACGGAAGCACCAAGACGATTCCGTAGATTTTGAACGCAACGGTCGATGTGACCGTTGACGAGACGCAGACCTTCTGCGCCGAATATAACGATTAATCATAATTATATATATGACCACGTACGATTATATCAGGCAATGATCGTGTTTTCGTGGTATCTCAAGTAAAATGGCGGGTGCTTGTTCGCAAGCGCGCAAACGATCATCCGAACGGTTCGAAATATTTGCGATATTTACGATATTCGCGTCCATCGGCCGATTGCGGGCAACGCTTGCATCGCGATAAACGTCTGACACGGCCCGGAAGACGTTTGTAATCATTTCTGATACGCGAGATTCGCTCTTGAACAGTAACAAATGTAAAAAAACACGGAGCAACGCAAAGACGATTCCTCCGTTCGTCGCGACGCGGCCATGACTGACTGCGAGTGGCGCGAATCCACCGAGCTGTGACGTCTGTGATTGGCGGACGTCCGAACGACGAACCAATTACGTCGCGACAATTAAATCTAGTCACTTTCGTTTCGCGCCTTTTTGAGTTACATGGAAGATGATTTCATCCAATTTTCGAAGGCAGAAAGGAGGTAAGGAAAATAAAAGTAGAAAATGCAACGAATATTACAGCGAAAGTTATTATTTAATATAGAAATTAAATTCGAGATGTTTCTTAGCGATTGCTGAAATATCGGATATTCGAATTGATAGTTCACGAACTATGATCGACACGCAATGGTTCAACGTGAAAGGAAATATTCTTATAAAGCAATAGACATCTAATTTTTAAGTGTATTATATAATATTCATATATTATATAATAAAATATTGGAATATTCTACTAGAATAATTTTAATAATAATTGTAAAGAATAATCATCTGATATAATCATACAGAATAGGTATTTTAATATCCTATTATTATTTATATTAGAATGAATAATAGGATATTAGAATATAATTTTTGTTAAAAATGAGAATATATAAGAAACAAAAAATTGTATCGAGATACCCTTTTGGGACAAAAAGATTCGGAAATAAAACTTCATCGCTTACATAAAATATATTGTTATTATTCTAAAAAAATATATCAGCTAACGTTATTATTAATAAAAATTCAGCAGTTGTTTCGAATATATCGCCATTCTTTTGAGCCAAGATGACCCTACACGATCAATAATACTGATTAGAGTAATATTGAATCACAGTAATACTGACAGTATGCATTAATATTTTCAATATTCTTACAACTTTATACGATATTAGTATTATTGGCAATATGTTTCACGTTTTAAATACAATATCGATTGCATTGTGACATACTGTGACATGGATCCTAATAAAACGATACTGATGCTCGAGAATCAAAATCCAGATCACTGTCAGTATTGACGTCAATCCATCAATATTAACCGCATACAATCAGTCATTGTTAGAATTTGTTAATACTAACAGTATTATTGACCGTGTAGGATCACTTTTATAAATCAATAACATACATATTTTATGCGATCTCTATACAACAGCATTTAGGAATGTTTCTTACCATTAATTGATTGCCAAGATGTGGAAGATACATCATGTGTAAATTAAGACAATGGAATTTACACGAGACTATATTATGAAAGATTCGACATTAAAACATTGTCAATCTGCGATATATATACATATATTTTTTATATATATATAGCTATATCAATATTTAAACATTTCCCCATTTTTTTACCATAATTAAATCAAACACCAAAGAGATTATAAGAAGATTACTTACATAATTAAATTCAGTTTAAAACGACGCATAATATAAAACTTTTCGCGTAACATTTCTCGCAGAGAATTATTCGTTTATTTACAGTGAATCATAACTTTGATAGCTCCACCTGCTCCAGTTTTGCAGGTCTCAAACGCTTGCTTGGTCTCCTCTAGCTTGTAATTATGAGTGACCAACGACTTCACGTCTATCTTGCCAGACGAGATAAGATCCAATGCATCGCCATAGCTGCAATGTGAAAGGAAAAGAAGATCATACAGAATAATCTTCTATGAAGCGTAACATTAAGATAATTTATCTATGTGAAGACTATAAATAAATTAAAAACGACAGAACTCATTGGGGTGCTATTCTGTACATGTCTACCACAGTTTTTTTGCTATACAAAATATTTGCGCAACAGTATATAACAATATCGACAACTATCGGTAAATGTGTACAGAATAGCTCTGATTTTTTTAGAATCATAATGGTTATATTTCTCTCAATAATTAAATTGACAAATTATCCTCACATTTAATTTAGCACGAAGTATTAGTACTAATATGCACTTTTCTTGTTTAACATATAATTTGACTAATCGAAACTTACTCATTTACGTATCGGAAAACACCCCTGATGTCGACTTCTCTTATTAAAGCGTTTATTAGTGGAATTTGTACCTCTGGAGCACCCATTCCCACTAACACAATGACTCCACCAGATTTGGTCGCCTGATGTACAATACAAATACAATTTATAATCTAATTTCTTTAGATTGTCAACTAATCTTTAAATAATCTAATTAATACAAATAGTTTAATTTAAAATATAAGGATATATTTTGTAGCTTACAAGAATCGCTAAACGAATCGAGGATTGTGCACCGGAGGCATCTATCGTTCTGTTAGGTTCACCCTCGAAAATTGCATGAATATCAGTCACTGTATCCTTCTCCGATCTATCCTTTTGCACCAGATACGTGACGTCGGCGCCAAGTTTCTTCGCTATGTTCAGTCTACTTTGCAAGATATCTATAAACATAAATCGCGCCTACTTACATCTCATTTACAAGTTGTATAGGTTTGGATTTAGAATTCTTCAAAAGAGAACTTGTGCTACTTGCAAAACGTGCTTTGTGCTATTTACAAAAGAATGGAAATATATATTAAGAAGAAAGATGCGGTATCCTTGGAAAAACAGCGCTCTACGTATCAATGCGTAGTTCAAATTTGCAATAGAAAAATGACTACTTGACGACACGCGATACTTTGTAACTGCGTAACCTCGACAATATACTTTCTTGTTCCATAGGTAGTATCTATCATGGTAAATGCCTCAGCGAAGCCTTATCTCGCGATCCACATTGCAACATCATTATTACACCATATCTTCAATGTGGATGTTTTTCTCTCATTCGCAATTACGTAAATGCATTATATAACTTGATAAACTATTTATGTCGCTTCACAAACAAATTTATGATAAGTTGTACATCAAAAATTTCGTTATCATGACGTTACAAATGCAATCGCTGCAATATTTTCCATTTTAAGTGACAACATGTATGTCATTTTGTATCGAAAATTTCCTTTACTTCTCAATAAAAAAATACTAAAATGTTATTTTGATACATAATATAAATCAGCAAAAAATTTTTAAGAAAATGACTAAATTTTGATATCGCAATTAACTTCATAAAACGCTAAAAAGCTAATAATGAAGTTTTCTTTTACTGGGTCAAAATAAAAGTTTATCGTGCTATTTTATTTGTATCAGTGTAATAAAAAAATTTGGCAATTATACTAAATTATACCAAATACAGTTTTGTGATTGGTATGACATTTTAAGACTACTTAAACGATCATAAATATAAGAACCGATTATGAATACCAGTCTAAGAATCTATTTTTTGAATTGCGATACGATGATTTTTAACGAAATTACGAGCAATCAAAGACAAAATGCTCTTTTTATATAGTTCAAAATAACTTAGTAATAAAAAATCTTAGGAACATTTTCAAAAAACGATTACACAGGGAAAACTTTTACGTTAAAAAATCGAAAATTTTCACAAGATTTTTTTATACGTAATAAACTCACAAAGTGAGAAGAAAATTTCCCATTTTGTTTAGCTCGTAATTTTCTATACGTAAAAATTACCAAACTCATAGAAACTAAAAAGACATGAGCTTTCAAAAGAGATTTTAAGAGCTTTAAAATCCTTTTTTAAATTTAAATTTCGTTCATGTTTAACGATGTTACAAATTGCTTGAAATTCGTAGCACTACGAACTTTATTCCAACCTTACTATACTTCCCAATGAGATAATATTATCTCACACTTTTTATATATATAGCTCTTTATAATGATTACTTGAATAAAATGTTGAGTGAAGATAAGGAAAACCGTTAAAACGTAGATTAAAGTATTTCTTTTGCTTCAAGTTTTATCTTTTAACACATACCCGTAATAACTATTTTCTTCGCACCCATGGCTTTGGCTACCAGCAAGGTCACCAAACCGATCGGACCAGCTCCCAGAATTAGTACTTTAGAACTGATTCCAACCTCGCCCCGTTTACAAGCGTGTACTCCCACCGATAATGGCTCTAAAAGCGCTCCTTCTTCTAAGCTTATATGATCGGGCAATCTATTATAAAAAATTACAAATACAGAAATTAATTTTCTTTCCATCTGCGACGACACATTTTATCAATTTGTTTCATATTGTATTTAACAAGAGTTTCCTACCTAATAAACACCAACTAACAGTAATATAACATCAATGTATAATTTTCTATTCAACAATGTAATTGTTAACAGTGTTACGTATACCTAATATATACTATTACTTTGTTGGGCAGGAAATTATAATATTAATATGGGTTACTGTTAGTGTTTATTACTGGGTAGCTATCTTGCATCTACATCTTGTTTGCACTGTCGGTTTTAATGTAATTATGTGTAAATACGTATAATCAACTATTATGTGCAATCAACTATGTTTACTTGAAGCAGAAATCAGCTGCATGTTTGTAGAAACGTCTTAAGTTGCCGTGCACAGGCGGAGTTGCGCAAAAGACAACATCTTTGCACAGATTATAACGTCCCTCTTTACAATGTGTACACATCCTGCAAGGCACGCCAGGTTCAATAGCAACACGATCACCGACCTATAAAAAATAAACAACAAGAAAATACTAGAAATATATATTTTATAAAAGAATAACCATTCTTCAATATTAATATTAGTTCAAAAGTAACGATAAAATCATGGGCATATTAACATTTTTTAGGAGGGAGAATTTTATCAATTTTATTATTACATAAACAGCAACTTTTTGTGTTAATAAATTGTTCTTTTGAATGAACTGTAGAGATTAAAATTGCGTTTTTGGATATTTTAAGGCTTCTTCCTGATTTTGAAAAATGGTAAATCATAATTTTTTCCTCTAAAGAAAGTGTAAATAAAATACAGTTATTATACAAACAAATTGTGTAATTGTGAATGGAAGAATCGGAAAGAATACGGGCTTTAGGAGTCAGGAGCAGAAGACGTCGCGCAAATAATACACTTATGAAGCTTGAAACTTCTTTATTTAACAAACGCGCTTACATGTTTCGACTCATTTTTGAGCCTTCTTCAGAGCAAACACAAATTAATATATATAAAATATAAGTTATCCTGTCACGGTGAGCTCCCTTACATCGAGAATTTCAATGCCAGAATTAAACAAAAAGAAAGAAAAGAAAAATGAAAAAGGAGGGAAATATTAAAAATGTCGAATTAAAGAATATAGAAACTAATTTATCAAAAAACTTTAATAATATAATTAATTATATTAATGGACTCAACCTGCAGACTGATATGGAGGGGCTTCCGAAGGCCTACCTCCCGATTATAGATAAATTATAAAAGCTCGAGTTGTTGTTACGTCTTGTCAGTCGGTGTCGTTCGTACACAGTAATAAGTCCTTCTGACGAGATTTTTTATCACTTTACAATTTTCATTAATACTAGCTAATAACTAAAAAGTGACTCACTGTGTCTGATACCGACTGGCCAACATATCAGGAATCGGTTCTTGAATTATTCATGATAATGTTTGTGATACGGTACTTTGTAATCGTGGTGAGCATCCCTATTTTCGGGATAATTAATTATATTATTAAAGTTTTTTGATAAATTATAGTTTCTATATTCTTTAATTCGACATTTTTTATATTTTCCTCCTTTTTCATTTTCCTTTTCTTTCTTTTTGTTTAATTCTGGCATTGAAATTCTCGATGTAAGGGAGCTCACCATGACAGGATAACTTTTACTTTATATATATTAGTTTGTTTGCTCTGAGGAAGGCTCAAAAATAAGTCGAAACATGTAAGCGCGTTTGTTATAAATAAAGAAGTTTCAAGCTTTATAAGTGTATTATTTGCGCGACGTCTTCTGCGCCTGACTCCTAAAGCCCGTATTCTTTCCAATTCTTTGATTTATAAGGAGTCTTGGTTAGTTTGATTTGTTATACGAATTGTGAATGGAATCATTAATCTCGACACTATTCTGTTTTTCGGCTCAAAAACTTTGTGAAATTTTTTCTTCTGTATCGAACATCCTAGCAAAGCTCTAACTAACGAAAGTCCCAGAAATTATTTACATGGCCATAACGAAAGCAAAAATTATTTTGTCACAATAAAAAATTTACTCAGAATCGAGAGAAAAACTGTATTTTTTGTAATTAATAAAAATGAAAAAATTAATAAAAAATTTCGGAGCGAGATCGAATCCTCGAATTCCTCCTGGATATATATTTATGGATAAAGTAAACACGTATATACGTATGCATGATATATACCTTTAAATTCGTAACATTTTTTCCAAGTTTGGCAACAGTTCCAGAGGACTCATGACCAAGGATCATGGGTTTCTTCACTATGAAATCGCCAATTCTGCCATTAACAAGATAATGAATGTCCGACCCACAGATTCCTACGCATCCCATTTCGAGAAGCACCTCTATAAAAAATTACAATATCTTTATTATGATATATTTCCAACTTACTAAAATATAAAAAGGAATATCTCTAGTTTTTATAAATTCTTTTTGATCCAAAAAAAAAAAATGTCAGTATTACGATGAATTTAATTGATCCCAAAACAGACTTTCATGTTTCTTTATCTCACTTCATAATTTTAGTGCGACTATTTTTGTTCATCAAAAGATGAATATCGAAAATTTAAGATTATTGTAAATTGTTCTAACTAATTAAGATTCAAATATACGCGCAAAGCGCTCAACAGTTTAAATTGAAATTAATCTTCTTAATTTATCAGTATGTATCTGGAACAGCATTGCGTATATTTCGACAAGCATCATCGCATGTATTAATAGATGTCGATGTAAATTGATTCACAACAAAGTGTTATGCAATCGGATAAAAAATCCTTTTACATTTTCACTATAAACTGAGTTTTTACGGAACTGTCCTCTCTAATAAAAAATAATGTTATCTAATAAATTTTGATTAATTCACTAATACATTTTTTATTAAGAACAGTATTATTTATTAATTATATTTCTCAATAATACATTTCTTAATAATACACATTATTGGAATCTTTTTGTGATATGATTTTTATCAAGGCTAATTAAAGAATAGTAAATATTGATTGATAAAAAAAGGCATCTCTTACCATCGTCTTCTGGTTCCTCGATACTCGTGTTTTCCTAAAACAAGAAAAATTATCCATATCTAAATCTAATCACAAATATATCTGAACGACATTGCAAAAAGCACATAATAATAATAAAACAATTTACAAAATTTGACACTCTAGAAATTGACATAGAATAGTCTGCTGTTTCAATTTTGCACTTATCTTTTATGAAATAAAAATACTGAATGGAAGAAAAAGTTAAAAAAATTCCATGATGTGTCAAAAAGAAATTGTTGTTTAATGCGGATACTTAAATGATTTAAAAGGTCAATCTGTTAATATGGAGGGACATCTACAATTGATTTACAAAGCGACTGCAGTCTCATGTGAAGTTATATTTAAGAATCAGGATCAACTTGTGATTATAAAAATAATAATCTGAATATATATATATATATTAAAAAATTTTTAATATATATATATATTAAAAAATTTGAATTATGCGAATTATGCTAGTAAAAATGTTTATAATCTTGTATTCACTATCGTATTAAATAAGAAAAAAAATTGTTTGCAGTTTGTTTTCTCGAGAAAAAAGTTCTTTTTTTTTACTCTTTGTATTATACTTTTACATAAGAAATTATTAAATTGAAAAGAAATGATAAAAATTAATTTTTTTATAAAATTACTGGTTCTTTTATTTTCAAAATACAAAATTTTCTTATAGAAAAATGTAATTTTTTATATTACTTTTTTGCTTGCATAAAACAAAATTAAAGAGAAATGACAAGAATAGCAAATTAGTCTGTTTCTAATTTTTGAAATTCGATGTTGAATAAAAAAAAGATGCTATTCTTTGTTACTTCAAAAAAAAAAAAAAGTAAATTGAAAACTGATTTATGTACTATGTCAAAGGATAAATACATCTATAAAATCGAATGTAATGTATACCTTTATTTTTTAATTTTCCCTTAAAAACATAATAATTTCGTAATCCTGAAACCTATAAAAGATGTGACTAAGAGTGTGCGGAGTACGATTTTTTAAGAACAGCTTTTGGTATCATTAATTCAGGAATTATTTTACATTTCACTTGACATATCAGACATATGTTTCGGTTTGCCGGATATATTTTACAGGTTTCAATATTACGAAATTGTTCTGTTTGTATGGGTTTAAAAAATAAATAAGTATGTATCAATGTATACAAAAATTAATTTATTGCATATCATTTCCTTTGACGTCGTATAACCAATACGGCGCCTCGAGATAGTCGATCCTTAATTTGATAACTAAAGAAAAATCAGATATAACATTACTACAATCTATTATATTTAAAAAATTATAGTACATAAATGTGCTAACTCGGCTAATTATATTAAACAAATTATAAATGTTTCATTTTCTTTACAACAGTTGGTAAAATATGATTTATTTTTAATTATATTTATATTTTTTAATTACATTTTGAGTCTTGCTTGATCCTTTCATTTTTGTCTATTAATTACAAATTAGGCTAATAAAAGTTTGTAGCTTAATCGAAATAATAAGAGTGCATTCGAATATGAGCAAGCGCAGTTGTGCAAGTTCAATATGCTTCCGCAACGTGGTACTAACCAGGCGCAAATCGTTGATGCCATACAGTATAGCAGTAAGATTGTCCTTAGCCATGATTTTTCAACGGAAATTCAAAACAAGTTTAGTCTTCAGCCGTGATCCGCTTGTGTCAAGTCGCTTCTGAATATCTTGATAAGCACAACGCACGAGAGACTCGGCGTTCAAGAGAGAACTTGCTGCTATATATACACGCGTCGCAATTATACGTATGTACTTGGAGCTATCAATGTGGCCTTATTATCGCCTGGTAGGCCGTTTACTCCGCCGCCACCACCACTCTCAACATTCTTCGCGGCGCGAACTTATTGAACAGTCCAATTTGTTCATACATTTCACAACTGCACCATCAACCGTTGACAATGCCGTCACAGAAATACGTTGTTCGGAACAAATCGATTTATACCGTATATGCAGTCCTACTTTTCCTTCTTGTTATCAATCGGCCATATGTCCATAGCTCGCGTGTTCCGTTACGATAGCGAAATGTAATACGCAATAAAGGGGACAAAACAAAATATATAAAACAAAATACCCTCTCTTGATGATATATCAAGTGTACCTCTACAGAGAAATGCTCGTTTCGCACTGAACTGTCGCTTCTTAAGAACGATGAATTTTTTCCTAAGATAGGAAATTTGTATCACATACCTATATTTAGGAAAGGTATTTCTCAAAATTCTCCGATTAGTTCGATGTTTTAAGAGAAGGGATTTCATTATACTTTTTAATTAGAAATAACTAGAAATAAGAAAAATTTTAGAAAGTTAGAAAATAAAATTCTGAAGAAATCTGATGTTATGTGAAATTTACTTAAGGCTGTATTCATAATCGGACTTTATATTTAGGATTGTCTTAAGTACAGTCAAGAAGATGTCATAAACCAATCAGATGGCTGTATTAGCATCTTCAGACATTAAGACGGTTTTAGAATAAGAACCGACTATGAATAACGGCTTTAGAATTTGAAAATTTTAGATTTGGGTCAAATTGTAATAATGAATCTGTCTATCAAAAATTGGGAAAAATCTGACCTTTGAAATGTTTAAATTAAATTATCAGGACATGTTTCAAACTACAAAAAGTCCTGCATTAGTATTCAATTATATTGATAATAGTGCTCAAGGTAAAATTGTTCGTTAATAATACATAAATTTTATGTACACTCACCGATTAAAAGGTTGCAACACTTTTTTTTAATGGAAACTTTTTTCGGAATACAGTCTGCTCACCGAGCGATTGGTTCTTACTTATGGATCCGTAAGAAAAAACCAATCGCTCGGTGAATAGGCTGTATTCCGAAAACCATAGAAAAAAAATCTGTTGCAACCTTTTAGTCGGCGAGTGTACGTTTGATCTCAAATATAATTGAATTAGCATGTATATACATAAGGGCAAACCAATATTATATTGATTTACTTATACATATTTTGATAGTACCTATTTGAAGTTACATTGTAGTTATTATAAATACTACAAAATTACTCAATTAAAACAATGAAGTATGATTAGTTTTTGAAATAAAACTGCTTTCTACATTTTTGTCTTTTGTTGAATATTTGTCTTTGGAGGATTATATTTTTCTCTAATCTATTTTTAATGTACTTTTTTTCTAAGATGACAAATATTCAATTTTAAAAACGCTTTTATTTCTCATAAATATATATCTACTTATCTTTATATATTAAAGTTTGAAAGGATCAGAATAATAAATAAGATTATTAAATAAGTTGTTTGCATTGTGTTACATATAAAATAAAATAAAAATGCACAAATGTAGAAAAATAATCACATTCATGCATATATGTATGTATTGTGATGAAACTATTTACAAAAATATTTTATTAATGATATATATAATAAATGACTTACAATAACTTGTACTTTATTCCCAACCCCAAATTCCCGTTGATTCTTTAATTGTAGCCCTATTATCTCTTCGTATCCTCGTTACTGAGCTTGCTTCTCCTTTAGCAAGTGCTCTCTTTGCTTGGCTTCTCTCGCGTTTGTCAAGTGCTAACTTTGTTCTCTTTTTTATCACATCTGGTGCAATTGTAGCAGCTGTTGAAACACTTCGTATACTTCGTGTATCATCATAAAAACGTACTACTTCGTTTTCCGCATTTGATGATAAATCATACGATGTAAAATCATCGTGTTTTTCATTGACTATTACATTTTCTACTGTTACATCTTCGTTATTTCGTTTACATTCATTTTCCGTATTACTTTGCTTATCGGGACATGGCACCATAGATATTTTCTTCAAATGTTCATCATCATTATTCAATGCTGGATCTCTTGTTAAAGCATTAAATTCTTTTTTTACAACAATTTCATTTTGAAGCTGTAAATCTTTTAATTGACATTTCAAATCCTCAATATTATCAACACAACTCTCATATGTTTCTTCCTCACTGTCCTCACTGTCCTCATTGTCTATATTGTCTTTTTCTTCTTTATAATCAATACCATTTTCTGTTAAAAAAGTGTTAATTTCTTTTTGTATTTGTCTTGCAAAACCACTGGCTTTGACCTCAGCATCTATGCTGTCTTCACGTCTAAAATGAATAAAACATTAATTTGCTAAATCAATACAAAATATAATAATTAAGATATAATACAGAAGATATAATGTACTTTTCAACTACTTACGATATATCTCGAAAAGTTGGATACAATTCGCTCTCATATCCAAAACGTCTCTTAAAGAAATCACGGATACAATTCACATCTCTTTCAAAATACGCTTCTGCATTCTCGTGTTCTGTAGAAACCATCTGAGGAAAATCAATGATAACAGGTTTGCCATCATCTTTGATCATTATGTTAAATTCATTGAAATCTCCATGTATAACACCATGATTCGCCAGTCTAACAATCAAATCCATGAGCTCATCGTACAATGCTTCGACATCGTCTACTTCATTTATATTACACCTAAATAGGACAATATAAATAAGGTATTATATAGATTTTTTAGGCCTCTATGGATACTTTCTATATAGAAGCTATGCATTATTAAAGTTAATGCCAATATTTTGACACTATAGTATTAGATTGTTCCTTGCTTTAATAAAGCAAACTGCAAAAATTCATGAATGATATTTAAATGGATCTTGACACAGGATAATCCATGAAACGTACAGCTTCTATACAGAAAGCATTATATATAACCAAATAAAATTTAATCAATAATCAAATATAAGTAAACATACAGAGGTCCACCTTCAACCAGCTCCATAACAACGCAATGCCTGTTAAAGTCAATTGGTTTTGGCACAGGAAAACCTCTATCCAGAAGTGCTTTCATATATGCAAACTCTCTAGTTGCAGAGATTCTTGACAAGTATAACCAAGATGCAGAATGTCTGTGCTGATGATAATCTCTTTTTCCTTTAATGTTTCGAAAGCATGTTCTACCCAATCTGTGTAACTTTAGACAAAGCGGAGTCTCTTCTTCATTGGCAACAATGTAAATATTAGATTCCTTGCCAACACCAATCTGATTACCAAAGGAACGGATTGTTCCTCTTTGCGTTAAAACTTTTAAGGCTAAATAATCATAACCAGCATTCGTCAAACGATAACCGTCATCTAAAAATTTATTATGTTTCAAATATATTCTTAATAAATAGAATCTATGATCACGTGTAAATTTCAATGCCTTACATCGTTTGCCTCGTTCGTAACTGAGCAATTTATGCTTGCACATTTCTTTTAGTAATTTATGAACTCCACCGTAACGCAGATTTGCTATTTGTGTGGCAAGTAACGCAGGTACGAGTTCATGATTTTTCATACCCATTTCAATCTAAGATATGAAAAATTAAAATTATTACAATTAAAAAAAAGAAAAGTAAAGACATACAGATATATAGATATACAGATCCTATAAAAATGTATTTTTTAACAGTCATATATATATTTTTGTACAAATATATAAGCAAATATAAATTAAAAAATTCATACCGCTGTCAGAACACGAAAATCTTCCGGGGTTAAATATCGTAATATTTTAACGTCCAACTTTCCCATATTAGATCGCAGATAACTATATGAAGGATTTATATAACGCAAATACGGTTTTTTCTTAAAATATCAAACTGTTTAACTTATTTCTATCTTCATGGATCGTTATACACGTGCAATCTTTAACCTAAAACTACCAATGCTACCACATGCTTAGTTGTTCTTCTTCTTCTATATATGATTGGCCCGGGCTCTCGCCAACGAGGTGAGCTTGGCCAGTCTTGTCAAAATAATAATGTAATGCAAAGCACAGTTGAAGCCGGAAACGTTTTTCAAAAAATTAATGAGATGATGCAATACCCGAAGCAAGGCAAACGCACATCCACTCTGTTAAGGCCCGTCTACAATACATGGAGTAAGAAGTAAGAGTAAGAAATTGACCAATCACAGTCGATTATTCTTCTCACATTCAGGCCCGTCTACAATACACGGAGTAAGAAGTAAGAGTAAGAAATTGACCAATCACAGTCGA